GGGGGGGGGTGTTTTCTGGTTTAAAACAGTATGTGGGTGTATTTGTTACCAAGTTAAAATCTCGGGAGTATTTTTATAATTTACCATTTATTTTAGGATTTTTAGGAATAGTTTGCTGTGATTAATTTTCAATTTGCATGTTTTAGGTAGCTAGTTGGGGTGCGTATCTATGGAAGAGAAATGTCATAGCTATGTCTTTTGCGCCAAGAGATTCACATGAAGCACAGGTTCAGTTTGCACTTGAAAGGGGTGTGCCTGCTGTCATCGGTGTTTTCGGCACCATTAAATTGCCCTACCCATCTAGAGCCTTTGACATGGCTCACTGCTCACGTTGTCTCATACCTTGGGGGATAAATGGTAAATGAATAATATTATCTTGTATCTTTCTTCGTCTATAAATTTGTTACAATTTGGTTACATTTCATTAACAACGACCGGATATGCCAAATATATTATGTGATTCGGTAATTTATGTTGGCAGATGGACTTTATATGAAGGAAGTTGATCGTGTGCTTAGACCTGGTGGCTATTGGGTGCTTTCTGGCCCTCCCATCAACTGGAAGACAAATTACAAGGCATGGCAACGCCCAATGGAGGAACTTGAGGAAGAACAAAGAAAGATTGAAGAGGCTGCTAAACTCCTGTGCTGGGAGAAGAAGTCTGAGAAAGGTGAAATTGCCATATGGCAGAAGACAATGGATTCTGCTGATTGTCGTGCCAAGCAAGAAAACTCAGGAGTTTCGTTTTGCAAATCTGAAGATGCAGACGATGTCTGGTATGATTAGATTAGTAATGAACTATATATATAGTAAAATCTAATAGGTTCTCCTTCCCTCTTACGGGTGCATATGCTTCGTGAGTGTGAGGAATAATTACATAACCAAGCCTTGTATGCAGTATTTATTAGAATAATCTGCTGGAGATTTGATCTGTCTTTTATTTTTACCTTCGCAAGCAAAAAACGTTTCAAAAGTTTCCTTTACCATCTTAAGAAAATACCCCTTTTGTTTTGATATACATTTTTGGGTATTTCTGTAATTACTTATACTTGGGTAAATTTTGTAATTATCTCTACACGTATTGTGGCACATAATTCATCACATATAGCTGAATTTGCAGTGATGCAAATGTCTAAGTGGTTCCTCTTTTTCTTTTTTCCTTCAGGTACAAGAAAATGGAGCAATGTATTACACCATACGACAATTCCAACGATGATGAACTTAAGCCATTCCCGGAGAGGCTTTATGCTGTTCCCCCAAGAATCGCCAGTGGCTCAGTTCCTGGAGTTTCTGTGGAAGCATACCAGGAGGACAACAAGCAGTGGAAAAAACATGTTAGTGCATACAAAAAGATTAACCAGATTCTTGATTCTGGAAGGTACCGGAACATTATGGATATGAATGCCGGATTGGGAGGATTTGCTGCTGCTCTTCAATCTCCAAAGTTGTGGGTTATGAATGTTGTGCCCACCATTTCCAAGAAAAACACCCTTGGTGTTATTTATGAACGAGGGTTGATCGGCATATACCATGACTGGTATGCAATCTTTTATCACCTTTTTCTAGTACCTTGCAAAGAATTTTTCTTTTGTCTTTTGTTCTCGCCGTGATGTGTTTACCTTGTATTTTAACTTTAGATGAAACTACTTCTTTAGTTGTAGCTTGCAGTAGACCATATGTAGCTGCAAAGAGAAGAATGTTATAGTGTTATAATTTAGATATAGCAGAGTCTGTACACCAAATCGATCCTTAAGATGTATTGTTTGGGGTGTGGTGGCCATATTGAAAATTGGTCCCGCATTTTGTTGAGTACTCGTGTGCTTATTGTGTATATTATTGTTTAGGTGTGAAGGCTTCTCCACGTATCCAAGGACATATGATCACATTCATGCGAATGGTGTCTTTAGCTTGTACAAGGACAAGTAAGTTTTCTGCATCCCTTGATTTCTGCTATCATTTCCTGAATGGACCTTTTGTTCGGTCGGGCACGTCAGTGTCGATTTTATACTCGTGTAATTCCATATAAATTTCCACATTAAGCGAAAGGGATTTTAGAAGTACAAATAGATTTCAAGATTATGTTACTTCTTCTAAGATATAACTGTTCCATAATAAAACTATTTGACACCGATTCGTTTTTTGTATGCACTCGAGTGTTTCCATATATGGACAGTAGGAAAGTAATGGAAAATGATTTTTTTCTTCAATGAATGAATGCAACAGATGTGATTTTGAAGACATTTTGTTAGAGATGGACCGTATTTTACGACCAGAGGGGGCAGTCATATTCAGGGACGAGGTTGATGTGCTCGTCAAAGTGAAGAAGATGATCGGCGGTATGAAATGGGATTCGAAAATGATGGATCATGAAGACGGTCCCCTACTTCCGGAGAAAATACTCGTTGCTGTTAAGCAGTACTGGGTGGGCAACTCGACTTCTTCGCAGTGAAGAACTGCAAGTAAAGGGGGGCAAGAGAGAAAAAAATGTACACTACTTTTTGATTGCTGGATGGTATGAGTTTAAAGTGGGGATTAACTTATATTATAACTACCCAAGATTTGTTCGGGGGTATACATTTCTATGTGGGAGAGTTGTGGTGGCCCGGAATTTTGCCACGGATGGGGGGATTTGTTGTTTTCGGGCTTTAATTTTAACCAGGGGTAGAGTCGGTAAGTTACAAGTAGTGTGATGTACTTGTAATACTAATGCTATTTCAAATTCAATCCTTTTTTTTTTTTTTTCTTCATTTAATATCCCATTTGAAAAGGTTTAAGTAAGTCTCTCGTCCTTGTCTGAATGGAAATCGAAATCACTGTAACTCAGAGGTAACAAGTTGTCTGCACGGTAAAATAATATGTACTCTTTAGTCCTTTTAGGTATATTTTGATGGTTTTCGATCCAAATGCTCAACTTAACCCCCCGAACACACATCACTCTCGATTCACTCTTTTTTTTTTTCGACTCGGCTCTAACAAGTCGGTACTGCCAAGCAGGAGCAGTTGAGTTAATAAAGGTCATTTGCACATGTTTATTTTAATGTATCTTAGCCCTTGTGCTGTAGATGTTTTTTTAGCCTGGGGAATATTTGTTAGAATTTATTTATTTTTGTTGGTATTATTTGATTGAACCATTGGACACCATTGGTCACCACTCACCCAATCATTGTTTATTTAACCCAAAATGGTAAAACTTGCAAAAAAAAAATAAAAAATGGAGAATTTGTTTGGGATGTGACAAGATCAGAATCAACACATAGATGCAGAGAGAAGACGAAAAAGGAAGAGAAAATATTATTGCAGAAAGTAAAAAAGTAATGTTACTGTACATCTGAGAGCTATTTATATGAGAGGGATTAAAACCTAATAATACAAGAAGTGCTATTCCTAATACAAAAGTGCTAAACCTATTTTTATAATAAAAGATAAAAGACTATTTACATAATATTTATTACTCCCCCGCAAGATGAACATGAATATTTTTCAAGTTCATCTTGGAAGAGAGTTCACTGAAAGCTGGATTTCCAAGAGGTTTTGTGAAGATGTCTGCAATTTGAGCTTTTGATGGAATGTAGGAGACAGTGATAGTGCCATTTGCTATCTTTTCTCGAATAAGATGACAGTCCAATTCAATGTGCTTGGTTCTCTCATGGAAGACAAGGTTAGTGGCAATAGATAAAGCAACTTTACTATCTGAAAATACACAAACAGGAGCAGAATGAGAAGTATTCAAATCCTTTAACAAGTATAATAACCATTGCACCTCACAAGATGTATAAGCCAAAGCTCTATACTCAGCCTCAGCTGAGGATTTGCTCACAGTGGGTTGTTTCTTTGATTTCCAAGACACTAATGAATTTCCCAAAAATATTGCATAACCAGAAACACTTTTTCTAGTGTCCACACAGCCAGCCCAATCAGAATCAGAGTAAGCAGTAAGAGATAAAGAAGAAGATCTAGGATAGAATATACCTTGCCCAACTGTTTGCTTTAGATACCTGAGAATTTTGTGGGCTGCAGTCAAGTGCTGTTGTGTTGGCCTTACCAGAAACTGACTCAAACTTTGAACACTATAAGAGATGTCAGGCCTTGTGATGGTTAAATATAATAATCTGCCTATTAATCTCCTATAAGCAGTTGCATCTACAGATGTATCTGTCTTATCTAAACAAGTAAGTTTAATGTTAGCATCCATAGGAGTGGATGCTGGTTTACTTGCTAAATAGCCAGTATCATTGAGAATGTCCAAAGCATACTTTCTTTGGCAAATGTTTATACCTGTAGATGAATGAGCAATTTCCAAGCCTAAGATGTATTTCAGCTGGCCTAAATCCTTGATAGTAAAACAGTTGTCAAGGTGGGATTTAATACTTTGAATTTCAGACAGATCATTGCCAGCTAAAATGACATCATCAACATATACCAATAATGCAAGGAAGGACTTAGATGACTTTTTAATGAATAGAGAACAATCAGAGATGGACTGAGAAAAACCATAGTCAAGTAAACATTGAGTTAATTTATGAAACCATTGCCTGGATGCCTGTTTTAATCCATAAAGACTCTTATTTAACTTGCAAACTCTAGTATCAGATTTAGAACAATATCCAGGAGGTGGTGTCATATAAACCTCTTCATCAAGATCCCCATGTAAAAAGGCATTATTGACATCTAGTTGTTCTAAATGCCAATGATTTATTGAAGCTAAAGCAATAAGGACTCTGACAGTAGTAATTTTTGCAACAGGACTAAAGGTATCAAAGTAATCTACCCCTTCTTCCTGTGTATATCCTTTTGCTACTAGCCTAACTTTATACCTTTCTATTGAACCATTAGCCTTATATTTAATCTTGAAGACCCACTTACAGCCTATAGGATTCTTACCTGCAGGCAATTCAGTGAGATGCCAAGTGTTGGTCTTTTCTAAGGCCGAGATTTCCTTATTTATGGCTTCCTGCCATAAAGGGTTAGTAGATGCTTGCTTATATGATTTTGGTTCAATATCATGAGAAATGGCAGATGTGAAGCATGCATGATTATCAGAAAGATTGTCCATTGAAACAAAAGATTCAATGGGATATAATGGAGATGTTCTAGAAATGTGGTGAGACTGATCAATAAAAGCTTGGTTAGAGGATGGATGGGATTGATGATTGTAGGCTTGAAATAAGCTGGACTTTTTCTAGTTCTGGTTGATCTTCTGAGATTGTGTTGTTGGGATAAGGGTGGTAAGTTTGGAGATTGATGCTGTGAGGAAGGAGAAGTAACAGTGTTATGTTGGGGAGAAGTATGTTGAGGTGAAGTATTTGATTGTGTAGGAGTAGGGTCTTGGTTATTGATATGGGGTGTGGGAACAGGTTGCTGCTGTACATTTGGAGATAATGAGGGCAGTGAATAATGGTCAAATGAATGAGGTTCATAAAATAATGGTGTATGAGAATTAACATCAGATAGTTGTTTGAAGGGGAAGACATTCTCATAAAACACAACATTTGTAGATATTAATGTATTCTTGGTTTCCAAATCATAAAGTTTATAGCCTTTATGACCCAGTGGATAACCAAGAAAAATGCACTTAGTTGCTCTGGGAGCAAATTTATGTCTATGGGACTGAAGAGTAGAAGCATAACAGAGGCACCCAACAGTTTTTAAATGATCAAGAGTAGCAGGTTTATTATACAGGATTTCAAAGGGGGATTTGTTTTGTAAAACAGGGGTGGGGATTTTGTTAATAACATGAACAACAGCTAATATGCAATCAATCCAGAAATGCAGAGGCAAGTGTGCATGAAAAAGGAATGCCCTAGCCACTTGTAAAATGTGCTGATGTTTTGTTTCAACCCTAGCATTTTGTTGTGGAGTTTCCACACAACTCTTTTGATGAATGATACATTTTTCTTTGAAAAAATCATTGATTATAAATTCTGTACCATTATCAGATCTGAGTGTTTTAATAGATTTGTGAAATTGATTTTGAACTAGGGCATGAAAATGTTTTATACTAGAGCTTGTATCTGATTTTTGTAAGAGAGGGTACACCCATGTAGTTCTAGAAAAGTCATCTACAATGGTAAGAAAATACTTGTGTCCGGTATAAGAAGGAACAGAGAAGGGCCCCCAGACATCACAATGAATTAATTCAAAAGAACTATGTGCAATAGAGGCACTTAAAGGAAATGATAACCTTTTCTGTCTAGAGAAATGACAGATATCACATGGAGTTTTTAAGTTCACAGAGTCTGAGGTAGGAATATTAAGTTGCAACAGTTTATGAAATGAGAGATGCCCTAATCTAGAATGCCAGACATCAGAGGTTACAAGGTTATTACAGGTAGATGATGTATCATGTGTTACAAGGTTGCTGTAGGTATGTGATTTACATGTAATAGAAGAGGTTGGATCAAAGTGATATAAGCTATCTTTTGCCTTAGCAGAACCAATCATCTTGTGGATGTTAAGTCCTGTATAATGCAATGTGATGCAAAGAAATTTATGGCACAATTGTTATTGGAGGCTAATTTTGAAATGGAAATCAAGTTAAATTTGAAGAATGGGACATATAAAGCTCTTTTGAGAATGATGGATGGGGATATGGTAATGTCACCAATATGAGATGCTAATGTGCTTTGACCATTTGGTAAATTAACATGAATAGATATGGGATGCACATTAGATGTAAATAGAGAGATATCACATATCATGTGGTCTGATGCTCCTGTATCTAGTATCCATGTATATGTATTATGAGTAGAGCAAGCAGAACATGAGATAGAATTAGTTATACCTGCTGCAGAGTTGGGTTGAGTGACACAGGCATTGGCAACAGTAGGAGTATGATTGGTCTCAGATGATGATGCTTGAGATTTCTCATAAGACTTTTTAAAAGCTAAGAATTCATGAAAGAGATGGTCAGTCATGGAAGGTTCAGAAATATTCAGAGAATTGTTCTGTAAGGATGTCACAGAGTTGGCAGTGTGTTTAGGATGAATCCTGGTACCACGGGAACCATCCCAATTTGAGGGATAACCAACCAACTGATAGCATTTATCACTAGTGTGGCCTAAGTAACCACAGTGGGAGCATTTTGGTCGAGATTTAGTCTGGTCTTTAGGGGCAGTAGAGTGATCAGAGGTTTTGAAGTTTGGTTTGTATGTGTTCTTAGGGGGGAAGTGAGTTTTGACAGCCATGGCTATAGGATCAAGTTGTTTTGAAGTGGATTGAAGGGCTCGTTGGCTTTCTTCTTGAAGGAGAAGGGAATAGACTTTGTTTAGTGAGGGTAATGGTGTGGACAGGAGAAAGTGAGACCTCAAGGCAGAATATGACTCGTTCAGGCCAATAAGGAATTTGATCACAGAATCAGATTGTTGGGACAAAGTCATGGATTCAAAAATGTTGCAAGTACAAGAAGATAAAGCACCACAAGAGCAACGGATAATAGGTCTGAAAGATAAGTATTCATCCCAAAGTGTTTTTAAAGAATTGTAGTACTGAGTGATGGTCATTGAGCCTTGATCCATCGTACTTAAAGATTTTTCGATTTGGAAAACACGAGGACCACTGTTCAATGCATATCTGGTTTTTAACTCATGCCATACATCTTTTGCATTTGTAAAGAAAAGCAGAGATTGTCGTATGTATTTGGAAATTGAATTCAGTAACCAACTCAATACGAGATTATTCGCGCGTGTCCATGCCAAAAACTCAGAACTGCTATCAGTAGAAGAAGGTATAGAGACAGTACCATCGAGCAAACCTAATTTGTTTTTGACAGATAGAGCCATGGATACGGCGCGTGACCAAGAGATATAGTTGTTACCGTCAAAGACCTCAGCCACAATGATCGCCCCGGGGTTATCATTGGGATGCAGAAAGTATGGAGAGTTTGGATCGTCGGAGAGACGAACAGCCATGAAACCTGCAAGAGAAAATAAAAAATAAACACGATCTAAAGAATAACAACACAAATTGAAATCAGAAGCGTACAAAAAACAAGAGTGTTTGTACAGATCTGATTAGAAATTGTGCAGATCGTCAGTGATTTTATCAGAACAAAATCGAAATGGAAATGTCGATCTAGGGCAAACCAAATCGATTCAAATCTGTGAGATACAAAACAGATCAAAGTCGATGAGATTCAATTATTACCAAATCGATGGGAGATGAACAGAGAAAAAAATATCGATAGATCTGGTGATAACAACGAGAGAAACAATAGGTTTGATCTTGATATCGATCAAACAATCGAGAGATTCAGAGATTTAGAGAGACAATAGATGCAGCGGAAAATCGAAACAAGATCGGCGATCAGCCGGCGACTGATACCATGACAAGATCAGAATCAACACATAGATGCAGAGAGAAGACGAAAAAGGAAGAGAGTATTATTGCAGAAAGTAAAAAAGTAATGTTACTGTACATCTGAGAGCTATTTATATGAGAGGGATTAAAACCCTAATAATACAAGAAGTGCTATTCCTAATACAAAAGTGCTAAACCTATTTTTATAATAAAAGATAAAAGACTATTTACATAATATTTATTAGGATGTAACGCCAAACAATTAGGCATTGTATAAACTCCGTTCAAGACATTTAATAAACTTTAAAACCGAGACTAAAATTCAAAAGTTCAAGTCATTTAATAAACTTTAAAATCGAGACTAAAATTCAAAACTCTAATCGACTTATTTGTGAACATGTTCGAGAGAGAAAAAAGGTACACTACTTTTCTAAGCTAACACTCGAGTTTTATCAATAATTAACCTCTAGGTTTTCAAAAATTTAAACTAACTAATAATGAGAAAGAAATAGTAAATACACGCATAAAATACAGAAAAATGCTACATGTACATAATAAATGTACAGAAAAATGTACATAACACTCTCATGGAGTGGGGTCCACTTGATTTTTTAAATTTAGTGGGTCCCACTCAATGTGAGAGTTATGTACACCCTTATGTACAACATTATGTACTTATAGCATTACTCTAAAATACAACACTCACGATTAAGTTATATTTAAACTATTTAATTTAGAAAAAAAATGGTTTTAAATTTTATATATTATTCATATTTTGCAGATATAAAATATTTATATAAAAATAAAAAAAATATCTATAATAATTTAAAAAAAAAAACTTTATAGCACTTTGGGACCTGGACAATAAAACAAGTCCGTCGATATTAATATGTTTGGAAAGTGGTGGATCCAATTTAGATGCTGACCAAAAAACAAGCTACATTACAAATTCAAAAAATTATAACACGTAAAAAAATATTGATGAAAATTTGGATCTTGCTTTAGCATTTCAAATTCAAACTCAAGCCCAGTGTTTGTAAGATATGCATAAAGTTACCAAAATACCTATACCTAGAGATTTTATAATAATTTTTTTCAAGCCAAAGCCACATTCAAGCAAATATCTAGCATTTGTATTATTATTATTATTATTATTATTATTATTATTATTATTATTGTTGTTGTTGTTATTTTTGTCAAGTTCGTGTCGACCCGAGCCTCGTGCTAGATGGACCCCTCAATCTCAAGCAAGAGTCAAAAAATAAAAAATAAAGCATGGCTCAATAAAAACAATGTTCAACTCGACTCGACTCATTCACAAACCTACTTCTCAAGGATACCATAAACAACATTGTACATGCTCAAACCTAAAAGAAAAGGTAGCTAAAAGGTCCAAATGGATAATTGTGCATGCATATACCATTTCCTAATAAAGTAAATCCAATCATATTCAAGTAATCTAAAACAAAATTTATACCAATTAACTTCGACTATTCATTTCACCTCCAACTTGGGCAAAACCAAGAAAAAATTAATAGAATTTAGAATGTGTTTCTCCAATTTGACATAACATCTTGCAAAAGAGTCTGTCATGAAGCTTCAGCTGTAGTTTCAGAAATACTCCTCTTTAGAAAATCAAGTGTCCCTTGTTTGAGTTTGGACCCCTTAGCAAGAGCTGTAAGAACATTAAAAAATCACATGTTTGTCATCAGTCATTACGATCGGAAAACATCAAGTGAAATTTCATCGAAATCGAAGAAAATAAAGGATTTATTCTACATACCATCCGTTTTGGCGAGTTTATTAGATTTAAGAACAGCAGATTTCCATTCATCATGGTCTTGTTTCTCCATTTGCTTGCGTTTTTTGTAAGCAGAAGGCTGCAGATCATGTAGTAAATTATATTCAGTCATTCAGTGTCAAGAATGCACTCGGCAAAAGTCACTAAAAATGCATACATACATCCAGAATCAACTGGTTTTTTCAAATTCCAGTCAGCTAGTATCATCCATTTCATAGCTAGAACATTTTTCCCTCACAAAATTCTAATTTAGACAAGGATAAATATATTTATTGATAAAATAGAGTTTCTTGCTCAAACCATACAAAATGAGATGATATTACCTCCCCATCGTCATCAGAACAGCTACCATACTCGAGCCTCCTTTTTTCGGGCAATACATCAAGAAGCTCTACATGTGCCCATGAGAAAAATTAGAGAAAATCCATCATTTTAATTTATGTTACTTAGGGAAGCATTAAAAAAAACAGCATTATTACCTCGATTTCCTTTGATTTTCTTAGGATCCTTCTTTTCTTTAGCTATCCCAAAAGCATCAAAGCATAAGTCCATCATTGATGTAGATACCTGAAATTACACAAATAAATTGGTACAAGAATAAAAAAAGATCTTCCCAGTTTCACACAATATAACCCTCGCTTATGATATATATACTTACATTAGAAAATTCTGATTCGGAAGTGCCTGCAAGCTCAATCAACTTTAATTTGTCAACCTTGAGCTGCAAAAAAACAAATTACTACAATATATCAGAATACATGCAATAAATACTCAATCCTGAGTTACCAAGTGAATTAATAGTGATAAATACCAGTAATAAAAACTTTCTCACCTTATGTTTTTTGGCACAAAGGTAAAATGCTACAGCAGTGAAAACTGGCCGGCTGAAATCCGTGCCACTTCTACGTGATGAGGGCAATGAAGCAAGAAATCTTTCCTTGTACCTGAAAAATACAATAAATAACTAAAATTGTGAATTATAATATGAAATGGAAGAGAAACGCTTGATTCGACTATTAGAATCATTTGTAAAAGGATAATACAAAAACCAACCACACTGAGCACACAGGATATCCTAGTCCATTATCTTTCGCATCTTATAATTTACTCAAATTATACATCACATTCACAAGATTGTGCCATGATTAAACACATAGCAGTTACCTATTGCATTTGAACACCAGATGTGAAAAAATATCTAAACAAAGCATTCAAAACTAACTCAGCATACATCATCCCTTATGCAGATATTTGATCAAATTCAACATAGTATACAATCTTAGATTAACTAATTACCTGTTCTAAAGGATTGTAGATTTAAGTTCCAATACTTAATTATAACCATTCCAAACTGATCCTACAAGTTAACTGAAGGGATGAATACTTACAATGACATGCCTTTGTGCACGAAGGGGATGAGTCGCACGCACCCGAATTGAACGGCCAATTCTCTTATATCAAGCTTGTTTCTAATCCAATAATCGATCAAAAGAAATATAAGTACAAAACAATGGCATCGATAGCTTTAGAAACGAATGTGCCGAAAAACGAAACAACAAAAGGAGAATTGCTACTGACTTGAGACCAATGCCATTCTGCATTGAGTTAAAGGACCTATTATAAGCCTTCTCAGACACCCCACTCAGTCTTATTGCAGCTTGCCGATCAAATATAACTTCCATCCTAATCCAATAAAGTTCGCCAACATTTAATCAAGATAAATTTCAGACCAAAACTCTAAAAAAATGGCCAATCAATAGAAAAAAATAGATACCTGGAAGCAGCAATCTCCAGGCAAATCACGGCCTTGCAAATTTCACCCTGATAATCAATCAATCAATCAACAAAGACATGTCCACCACTCAGTTGACGATGCAAAAATTCACAGTAGAACACAAAATCGAAACGGGTTGGTTTTATATGAATCTGTAAACAAAAAAAAAACCTACAACGCCGATGACGGAGGAATCGAACTGGATATCTGCAAGGCGGCGGAGCTCGGCCGCCTTACGTATGACGTGTTTAGATCCGGCAAGGCCCAGTTTCTTGGCTATCCCCGACATGTCCATTTTCCCGAAAAATCGAAAAAAAATTTCGCCGCCCCTTTTTTCTTTTTGTGTTCTTCGGAAGAATGAAAATTCGGTGCAGGTTTTGGGTGCTCGGGGACGGAGAATCATTTCTTGATGAAGGATTTATGGCGGGATTGTGGATTCTTGCGGGAAAATTTTTGGAATCTTTGGCGCGCGTTGAAAAAATGGAGCAATGAATTTCGGTTTCGCGCCTATTCGTGGTAAAATCAATGGAGCAATGAATTTCAGTTTTCGCGCCTATTCGTGGTACCTCATATCTAAGTGCACTCATAAACTTGTCAACGTTGATTGTTTATGGATTCAAATAGTTTTATTTGATTTATTTTTTAATTATAGTTAATTTTGTTATAAAAAATTATATGATTAGTTGTTAGTCGAGATATTAAATTAATATTTAAATAAAATGATTAAAATTGATTTGATGTAAAGTATGAGAAATTATTGGATGTGATGGTTAGTTAAAATTATGTGAGTAGATGAACAATGAATTAAAATTAATGTAATGTGTAAGAATAATTGGTTGATATTATTTAATTATATTGATAATATTGAAGATAGTGAGATTGAGTTAAAATTTAATTAAATTTGAGCTTTGATTAATTTTTTTTATTGTTCAAACTATTCAATCGCACCTCATAGTTCTTTCATCTTGGGCTAGTTTGGGACCATTCGATAATTCTCTTTTAATCTTCAAGTTTAGTTTCAAAGGTATTCCCTTCCACTCGTGTTAAAATATCATCACCTCTTTTTTTTTTAAAAAAAAAAAAAAAA